ACATAAAACCAAAATTTCATACCAAACCGGGATAATGTAAATTGAAATTATTTTGACTAAAAATATATCTATATATAGAATGTAATGTTTTGGAAACTTCCCGTGAAAATTATTCAATAAAAATAGTGTGATTGTCCATAATTTTCTAAACGATTTTCAACATATATATTATCGTTTTACAAAAATCAACATTCAATATAAAAAATTATCTTTTATATTATCGATGCAATTTCATATGTCTCATATAAAAAAAATAAAATAAAAATCAAATCAAATCGCTAAACAAACAAATTTGTCAAATTCAACCCTCCAATTATTGTAATATGTATTTATATTTATACAATGGTCAAAATGTTACATAAATCAAAGCCTGTATTTGTTCTACCGATGTACACATCGTATTATTCATCTAGTTTGGCATATTCTTACTTGTAATTAATGTATGCATAAGATAATTGAAATAATACGTCTCGTTTACAATAGTATAAATAAATAAACAGAAAACAAATGTTTAATAAATAAACGTTTTTATACTTTTCTTTAAAATATAATTCCAATACAATAGTCTTGTTTATCATTTTTATCCGTTCCAAAACAATAGTCTTATTATCATAAATAATCATATCACTATAAAACTACCCTTAGCTTTTCATTTTTATTACACAATTGCCACTACTTTTTAAATTAATACATTCACATGGGCAAAAAATTCTTCATACTTTTTACCAACTATCAATATAATATTAATATTTCTTAAATCTCGTGTCCAACCCAATTAAAACTATATTTATGGGACGCATGGAGTATTTATTTACATAAATATCACTAATATAAATACATATACTTTAACTCATAGCTATTCAACATTGATCAATTCAAAAAAAAAAATTTATTTCTATTTTTCCCTAATAAATAAATATTTTTATCTATATTTTAAATTTTTATTTTTTATAAAATTAATTTTATAAATAAATATATTTTTCTTTATCTTTATTATATAAAATTTTATTATCTACAAAATAAGATCCATATTGTGTATATTGTAATAGAATATAAATTTTAAAAATATTTAAATTACCAACAATATTAAGTATATAAAAAATAATAAGACGAAAGGAATATTTTTTTTAATGAAAATTATTTATCAACAATGCAACAATAAAATAAAAAACATAAATAAATAGAGCATTTATTTTGTTTCCTTTCCATTTATTTCTTTAGTATTTTAGTTAGATTTTTTTTTTATGTTTATTTTTTTGAGAATTATGAGAAATTATTTCAATGATATAAAAACTAGTAATATTTTATATTAAATTATTAACTTTTGTGAAAAGAAAATATAAATATTATATATAGTATCTGAAAACAAACTCTTTATTTGCAACAATTAGGGTGTTTTTCTTTAGTGCTTTGTTTTATGTTTGAATTTTGAAATACTAATAATTTAAATTGAAATATTATTTTATATAATATAAATAAATATTTCATGTATTGTTTTAAATAAAGATTTAAATATATTTTATAATATATTAAACATCTTAGACTAAGTGTGTCTTTGTCTGTATATTTTACATTTTTTTCTACATGAAATATTTTTTCTATAATAAATTATATATAATCTTATTTTTTTATTTAATATTTTAAATCCTTTTTATATAAAAAATTCTAAAATATCACAAAAACGTCTCTCTAGCTAAAATAATCTGCCAATTTTGTATCACCCTCTTTATGGGCCGGACCCTTCAGAAATTCTGAGCCCAAAATGTGTAGATGAATTATGTAGATAAAAAATTAAAAGGAATATATTCATTTCAACTAAAAATTATACTCTCTCCATCCCAAAATTATAATGTGGGTTATATTTGGCACGAAATTTAAGAAATATTGATATTATATTGGGAGTGAATAAAAAATACGGATAAAAGACTTTTTTGCTCCTGTGAGTGTATTACCATAAAAAGTAATGGCAATTGTATAATAATAATGAAAAAATAATGGTAGTTTTATATTGATATGATTATTTATAAAAATAAAACTATTGTTTGGAAAAGAATGGAGTACAATTTTTACCATTTTTATTTGTCTCACTTAAAAAATATGTATCTTTTATTAACAATGAGCATATACCAAAAACAAACAAACAAACAAACTTTAAACGTAAATGTCCACTAGAAAATTAGTATTGATCTATTTTGTCAGATTACGATCATATTTATTGCCCAGTATCAATTTTTTTAAAAAAAAAATATAATATAAAAAATAAAAAATTATATTTAAATATGTATCTGAATTTTTATTCATATAATATTTTAATATAATAATTATCATACTAATTGTATCATAGAAAAGTTAATTTAGAATCAATGCCAAACAATCCCCCCTTTTTTAATTAATTAAATAACTATAATGTCCTGTTACGAGAATTAAACATGTGATTAGATTCCTACAAGAATTTTTAAAAATAACAAAATATAATAATAATAATAATAATAATAATAATAATAATAATAAATTCCAATGGCATGCTAAAGTCACGAGAGCCACACAAACCTAACAATGAAGAAATCCATATCATATTCTCAACATAGCCTCCGATCACGCGACGTCACGTGATCCCACGATTTTGTCAATATTATATTTTTCTTTTCTTTTTATTTTTTATTTTTTTTGTCAGAAAAAGAAAAAATTTTCTGCAATAATATAATATTTTAATAATAAATTTAAATTCAAGATTGGATTACATAAATTAGTAGTAATAATTAATTCAATTGTGGTGCAGATTAAGATGTGGGCAATCGTATATAGATCTGAGATCCATCACACGCTTATATTTTATTTACATAAATTTGAATTAGTAATAAATTTAATTTTAAAAAATATGGAATGAATTTCATTTTAGATCCTTGTTAGTTTACTTTTTTTTAATGTATACCTCGTTATTACTTTTGTCTTGTATTTATCTCGCTGACAAAATGTATCTTATATGTTTACAAAAGTCGCGCGTGACGCTCACACCATACGTAATGACGCGCGATCACGCGCGACCAAATAATATAAATAAAAATTTTTGCAAATATATATTTTGTTAGTGAGATAGATACATAACAAGTGATAATAAGGTATACATACTCAAAAAATTTTGCAATTTTTTCTTTAAAGTTTTAAAAAATTTAGTAATAGTAAAACATTGTCATCAAATATAACAACAAATACTCAATTAGTTATATGATGTAATAATCTTTTATAAATAATATTCCCTCGTTCCGTTCAAATACAATAGTCTTGTTTACGATTTTTGTTCGTCCCAAAACAATAGTCTCATTTTCATAAATACTGATATCATCGTAAAATTATTTTTACATTTTCATTATTATTACACAAATGTCACTATTTTTTATACTAATACACTCACAAGGGCAAACAAGTCTTTTACTCGTACTTTTTATACTCATAAAAGACTTATTTGCCCTTGTGAGTGTATTAGTGTAAAAAAATAGTGGCATTTGTGTAATAATAATGAAAAAATATGGATAATTTTATAATAATACGAGTATTTATGAAAATGAGATTATTCTTTTGAGACGGACAAAAATTGTAAACAAGACTATTGTATTGGGACGGAGGGAGTATATAATTTTTTATAAAAATATATAATCACCATTTTATTTTTGTAATTTAGAAAGGAAATAATTATAAAATTATAAAAAAAAAAAAAAACAAGTATAAAATCTGCAGATGGGAGGAATATTATTTTTTTTCATACAAAATACTATTGCATTCAATAATTATATTATTTAAAAATTAGAATATAAATTATTCTTTTTTTATAACGAAAAAAAAAAAAAACGGATATAAATATAACCCTATATTACGAATGATCACACGACTAACCTCCAATATCTCTTATTAACTACCCACTAATTATTTATGTAACTTCCCATTTATTTTCGTAACTTCCACTCTCAATCATATTTATTTATTTTATTCTTTATTTTAAATATTATTACGAAAAAGGCTCCAAAGATATTGTAAAATATTTTAAATAAAATAATAGTGTATTATAATTAAAAGAATATATAATCAAAATAATAATCAATTATTCTATTTCGAATAAGTCCGAGAGAAAAATGTATAGAGTGCATTAGTGTACACGACACATAGGTACAAATCCGAAGCAATCCTATAGTTAGTACCAGGACCTCAACACCAGATCAATCTACATAGCCGCACGTAAATCGAAAAAAAATATCAAAATATTTAAATACTATAGCCTTTGTTTAGACAGAGATTTTTAGAAATTTAAAAATATAAAAAATATAAAAAATTAGTATTTGATTTTATGTTTTATAAAAAAAAAATATATATTTGATGTGATATTTTTTAAAAATAAATAAATAATATAAAATAATAATAGCAGTTATAAATTTTCATGTTATAAAAAATAATAATAATAATAATAATATCAAATTAGTGAAAATATGTTGCGTAAAAAAAACTATATATTATACTAAAAACAATATTGAAATTATCAAATTTTGATGACAATATAGTTTTGGTATCACTGCCAATAATTCAGTTTTTTTTTATATAAGTATAAACTTATTTTAAATTTTAGTATTTTTGACAAAAAAAAAAAATTGTTTTTAAATTGGTAAATATATACTTTGATATTTTTATTATTGAAAAAAAATATATATTTTTAAGAAATATGAATTGCTGTATTATATTAATATAAAATATCTTCACAATAGCTTCATAGTTAGTTATAGGGGTTTAATAATTTTTTATATTTTGTTACATATTCTATATAAATCATCCTACTTACTATTCCATCTGGAGCAAAACTCCCAGGACCTCCCAGGAATTCCACACCACCACTACCATTGTCCCATCCCCATCCACCTTTTTGCCTTTCGTTTTCACACTAAAACAAAACCTCATCTCCACCTTCTTCACAACCTTACAAATCCCACAACTAACAGTTACCCAACCCCCCAGCCCCCCTCTCTCTCTAAAAACACACACAGAGGTCACCCTCTCTCTCTCTCTATACACATGTATATAGATATATATATATACACATTCTGCATATGCAGTGACAATGGGATGCATAGCTGGTTCTTGGATCCAGAGATTCAGCCATTTTTAAAGCTTATTATATATATATAGAGAGAGAGAGAGAGAGAGAGAAAGAGACCGAGAGAGTAAAATTCCATTTATATTATTATCCCAACAAGACATGATTTGGTGTTCCCAAAATTGCTCAAATTCCCAATCCCTTTGCCTGCCATTGAAATCCGTACCTCTTTTTCTGTAAATGCCTGTAAATCCATGGCCCATGTTTCCCCTCTTCTTCTTCTCCTTCTTCATTTCGTCCGCTCTCTGTCTCGATCCGCAAGGGGAAGCTCTCCTCGCATGGAAATCCACCTTGGCCGGCTCCATCGATGCCCTGGCTGATTGGAATCCCGCCCACCCGAATCCCTGCCGCTGGTTTGGGATTCTCTGCAACTCTAATGGCGTCGTGGTGGAGATTAATCTGAAGTACGTTGATCTTCTTGGCAATGCGCCGTCGGATTTTAGGGTTTTGGGCTCTCTGAATAAGCTCGTTCTTGTTGGGACTAATCTCACCGGGAAGGTCCCGGACCGGATTGGGGATCTGACGGAGTTGAAGGTCCTAGACTTGAGCGACAATGGCCTCACCGGAGAAATCCCCGCCGGTATTTGCTTGCTGTCGAAATTGGAGAAGCTTTACCTCGATACCAATAGGTTGGAAGGATCCATCCCCGCCGGAATCGGGAATCTGACGAACTTGCTGGAACTGACTCTGTACGATAACAAGCTTTCCGGCGGGATTCCGGCGAGCTTCGGCAATTTGAAGAAGTTGGAAGTGATTCGAGCAGGAGGGAATAAAAACCTCGCCGGAGCGCTGCCGCCGGAGATCGGGAACTGTACTAATTTGGTGATGCTCGGCCTGGCGGAGACGAGCATCTCGGGGTTCCTCCCGCCGGAGATCGGACGGCTGAGGAGACTCCAGACTTTGGCGATTTACACGGCGCTACTGTCGGGGAATATTCCGGCGGAGCTCGGAGACTGTGGCGCCCTGCAGAATGTGTACCTGTATGAGAATTCTCTGACGGGGGAAATTCCGGCGGCGATTGGGAGGCTTGAGAATTTGCAGAACCTCCTGCTATGGCAGAACAGCCTCGTCGGAGATATTCCGGCCGAGATCGGGAACTGCACTCAGCTGGTCGTCATCGACGTGTCGCTGAATTCTCTGACAGGGAATATTCCGGCGACGTTTGGGAATCTGAGGATGCTGCAAGAGTTGCAGATGAGCGTGAATCAAATTTCCGGCAGGATTCCGAGCGAATTAGGCGACTGCCGGAGCCTGACGCATATCGAGCTCGACAACAATCAGCTTTCCGGCGGCGTGCCACCGGAATTCGGGAACTTGTCGAATCTGACGCTGCTGTTCCTATGGCAGAATCGCCTGGAGGGTAACATTCCGGTTACGTTGTCGAATTGCCGGAAATTGGAAGCCGTCGACCTGTCTACGAATGCGCTGACAGGTCCGATTCCCGCGGGTATTTTTCAGTTGAGTAATTTGAACAAGCTTCTGTTACTATCGAACAATCTCTCCGGCAGCCTCCCGCCCGAGATCGGGAACTGCTCGTCATTGATCCGATTCCGGGCGAGCAATAACATGATCACCGGAAGGATTCCGGCGGAGATAGGGAGGTTGAAGAATCTGAATTTTTTCGATCTCGGATTGAATCGAGTGTCGGGGATCATCCCCGTCGAGATTTCCGGGTGCCGGAATCTCACCTTTCTCGACCTGCATTCCAATTCGTTGTCGGGGAATTTGCCGGCAAATCTGAAGGACCTTGTCGCTCTGCAATTTCTAGATGTTTCCGACAATATGATCGGAGGGACATTGAGTCCGGGGATCGGCGAATTGAATTCTCTTACGAAGCTGATCATCGCGAAGAATCGGTTGTCCGGTCCGATCCCGATCAAGCTCGGTTCGTGTTCCCGGCTTCAATTGCTCGATTTAAGTAGCAACCAACTCGACGGCATGATTCCGGCGAGCTTAGGGAAGATTCCGGCGTTGGAGATCGCATTGAATTTGAGTTGGAATAGACTTTCCGGTGGGATTCCGGAGGCCTTCACCGCCCTAGATCGGCTAGGCGTCCTCGACGTCTCCCACAACCTTCTCTCCGGCGACCTTCATTTCTTGCCGGAGCTTCAAAATCTCGTCGTGCTCAATGTCTCCTACAACAATTTCTCTGGCCGTGTTCCGGAGACCCCCTTCTTCGCCAAGCTACCCGTCAACGTCCTCGCCGGAAACCCCCATTTGTGCCTTTCGAACTGCTTTTCCTATCGTGGCGCCGGCCACCGGAGGGCGGCAAGGGTCGTGATGGTGGTTTTGCTCTGCGCAGCGTGCATTTTGATGCTAACGGCTCTTTACATTATCCTCCGGCAAAAATCGAGAGCCCGAGGCACCGATCCAGACAACCACGACGACATCGACTTACCCGGACCGTGGGAGGTCACGTTGTACCAAAAGCTCGATATGTCCATCACCGACGTCGCCCAATGCTTGACGGCCGTCAACATGATAGGGCAAGGTCGATCGGGGATTGTGTACCGAGCAACGATCCCATCAAGGGCAACGATCGCAGTGAAAAGATTCATCTCATCGGACAAGCACTCATCGACGTCGTTCTCATCGGAGATCACCACATTGGCTTGGATCCGGCATAGAAACATCATCAGGCTATTAGGATGGGCGACCAATCGAAAGACGAAGCTCTTGTTGTACGACTACTTGCCCAACGGCACGTTGGGCGGATTGTTGCACGACGCGAATCGCGATAGAGTTGATTGGGAGATTCGGTTCAAGATCGCATTAGGGATCGCCGAGGGCCTTGCCTACTTGCACCACGATTGTCTCCCACCAATCCTCCACCGTGACGTGAAGTCGGATAACATACTCTTGGGCGATCAATACGAGCCGTGTTTGGCTGATTTCGGGCTTGCAAGATTCGTCGAGGATGGGAACGACGGTAATTCCTATACAGCGTATCCTCAATTCGCCGGATCATACGGATACTTTGCTCCAGGTAAATTACGTTACAATCTTATACACTACTTAAATCTACATTATCAAAAGTCTAGTTTTTAACATTATTTTAACATTAAATCGAAACCAGTTTTTTTTTTCAAACTCAACCAAAAGAAACGCACCCTTGATAACTTAAATCTACGATCCATCTACAGAGTATGCGTCAATGGTGAAGATCACAACAAAGAGCGACATATATAGCTACGGCGTAGTGCTTCTAGAAATCATCACCGGTAAAAAGCCCGTGGACCTTTCGTTCCCCGATGGCCATCACGTGATCCAACGCGTACGCGATCACCTCAAGGGCAAAAATGATCCCGTCAACATCATCGATCCGAGGCTCCAAGGTCATCCCGACACACAAGTACAAGAAATGCTTCAAGCGTTGGGGATCGCCCTCTTGTGCACAAGTAACCGGCCGGAAGATCGTCCCACGATGAAAGACGTGGTCGCATTGCTTAAGGAAATCAAGCAAGAGCAACTGGCCGGATGCGAACAAGTTAACAAGCCCGGGAGCAAGTCGTCGAACAAGCTTCAAAATACGTTAAATTCCTCCTCGTCCATAACTCCGGCGCAACTTTTGCTTCTCCAAGGGTCGTCGAATTGCTCGTCGGCTTATTCGTGTTCGTCATCGACGAGTTACAATGCGGATCATCGATAAGCGGCTCAGGCTTGGGTTGGCTCGGCTCGAATAGAAATTTTTATTTTTATTTTTTATTAGATTTGTCACTAAATGATTATTTTTGTAAAAGTTAATAGTGGTAGAATTCAATATTTTATGTTAAATGTTGATTTAGAGTAAGTGTAATTGTAACGAATCTTGAACAGATCCTATCCGTTCGTTATTGCAATCGACGGTGTGGATCTGTTTCACGCAATCGCTACTTAACTTGTTACTAACAAATTCAATTTATTCCCTTATCCTAGTGTTTTCTTATGAATTCTGAATATTATGGGTATTTTATATGATTTTTTTAATTTAAATAAATATCTTATTTTAAATTAATATAAAAAGAATAAATTAGATATGCACAAGGTATATTTGTCTAGTTTGCAATAATGCGTGCGATGAATAAAAAGGAAACACGAAACTGAAAAAAAAATAATAATAATAAATAAAAAAAAAAAAAGACACAAACAAAGGTGTCTTGATGGGACATGATAAAAATGAGTAAACAGCTGCAAAATTTCATTACCAATTAAAGAAATTTTTCAATGGATGAATAATATTTTTTATTTATGTTTTAATTTATTTTTTTTACTATTAATTTATATTTTGTCTTAATATTAATATAAAATATTTTAGCTCCGTTTTCTTAAATGTTAATTTTTATTTTTTTATTATTAACTATTTTTCCATAAAACTGTAATTTTAATTTTTTTAATAAAATATTGCATTTAAATTATTTTCATACTAAAACACAAAAGTTAAAGGATTTTTTTCACTATGATTTGAAATTGATTTAAACAAAATAAAATGTTATTTGAATTTTTACTTAAACAATAGTATTTTAATATAATAGTTTATTTTAAAAAGTTATATTCTTTCCGTCTCATTAAAATATTTGTCGTTTATTTTTTATATATAAATTTTTTAATATTAGTATTATAGTGGATTATAATAAAAGAAACAAGAATATCCCTATTAATACCCTTATTAATATTGTATAATATAAAAGTAACGATATTTGTGTAATATATTGTAAGTTTAAATGATATTTATTATGTTAGATAAGTGTAGGTAGTACAATTACTAAGAAATAATAATCTCATTTTGAAACTAATATAATGACAACCTTTCAATGATATAAATAAAGTATTTTAATTAAACATAATGTTAATTGCAGTTTGAAATAAAAAAGATAAACAAGCCTTTAATTGGTAAACAATTACTCAATTTTATTACAAAATATAAATTCAAACAATCATTTGGCACATCAAAACAAAAATAAATTAACATTTCCTCGATGTTTTCAGATCTTATTTGTCACATATTAGACATATCTTTTCGAACTTTGTTCTCAAGCTATTAAATTTGATCTAGAATTTATCCCGAACGCACTGAAAAAATAGTAAAAGAATTTCAAAAAAAAAAAAAGTTAGCACCTCTAATTTTTTATTATTATTATTATTATTATTATTATTTAATTTTGATTATATAGTATAAGAAAGGAGCCCACCATGTGATAAGAATTGCAAGAATCCAAATAAGAATGCATAATGAAGAAGATGGTGAAGGAAAGAGGACACAATTTTTCTTGTTTCAAAATTGTTTTAATTTAGGTGTAGATTGAATTTTTTTTGTAATTCTCTGGTACGGTTTTAAAATTGCATAAAACTTTCTTATATTTTTTAGAATATTACATCAAACTCACATGTCATTTACACTTAATAAAATATTCGCAACAAACGTCAATAATGTGAATTTCAAAAGTTATATATTTTTATCGATACAATATTATTGACACGTGTTGCATACATTCTATTAAGTGTAAACATTGGGGAGTTTGATGCAACATTTTGAAAAATATTAGGGGGTGTCCCGCAATTTGTAAAAATTTTCAACACAATTCTCCAATAAAATTAATATATTATACACACCTTTATTTTTATATTACAATTTCATATACCTCAAGATAAAAATACAAAACAAACACACATATTTTTTAGGAAATGGTGTTTTCATAAGAAGAACACACCCTAAATTCTATTACAAATATCACATCTATTAATTTCAAAACAATTAAAGGTCGATTTGGTTACCGACTGAGATCAACACTATGCTCTTAATTTTATTTTATTTTATTTATGAAAGTACAAGATCCATTCAAAATTCTTTATTTTTATTTATCTTTTCAATAAGTAAATATATTTATATACATTCAAAACTATGATATTTTAACAACAAAAAATTTGATAAATTATAAAAATTCTGTAAAATTCTGTAAAATGTAAATGGTTTTGTCTGAAGATTTGAATTTTGAGTTGAGACTTAAATAATAAAAATCTTAAATTGAAATAGTTGAATGATGTGATATAAAATAAACGTATAACGTAAAATTAATTTTTAGTATAATATAAAAAATAAAAAATAAATGTTTTTGATTTGATATTTTTTTAAAAAATAATTCAATAAACAATAAAAGTTTGCCAAAAATCCTTCGGTTTACTCAACACATTTTTGCAATATTCATTATTAAAAAAACATCACATTAAATACATATTTATTTTACAAAATATCAAATCAAATATTAATTATTTTTTTTTTTATTTTTTTCAAATATTCAAAAACCTAAAAAAATCGCTGTCAAAACAAACAATTGATCAACCAATTTGATATAAAAGAAATAATACTAATAATAATAATAATAATAAAGGAGGGCAGGGCAGGGCAGGGCAGGGCAGGGCAGAAACGAGGATAACTCAACCATAGTTAAGTTAAGTTAAGCCTGGGTGAGACTTTGCATTCGTTTCATTTTACCCATTCCCTTTCGCCTCTTCGTTTCTTCTCCACCCTCCGATCCCCTCGCCCCATCGCCGCCGTTTGTGTCCGTGCCCTACCACCGACCGACCAACCAACGCCGCCGTACGGTCGCCGCCGCAGTCATCTCTCTTCTTCCATCTATATCTATATATAGTTTGTATAATTTTTCGTTTGTTCGAATTTGTCTCTCGCAGATCGAAGATCCAGTTTTCTGTCGCTGACTTCGCGGTTGGTTCCAACTCTTTTTGTATGTATGGTTACAGTGTTTCTAATATTTGTTCGCTTGTCACGGCGTGAAGATCTAATTTTGATTGATTCGGAGGCGAAACGAAAATCGCAAACTAGGGTTTCAATATTTGGTGTCACGAGGTTTTGGTCCGTGATACGAGTTGTTTCTCCCTAGAATATGGGCGTTAACAGATGTTTTTGACGGGATGTGTGACGTGTATATATTGTTTGTCGTTCTTAGGCTAACTGACTTCTGTGTTCGGTTGGTAGGTACGACCTGCGTGATAGATTCTCGTCCCTATTATAATCTTTTGCATCTCATACGATCTTTGGATAGAATGAATATGTGATAAACTCTGAACAAGTGCTGCATTGGATATATTTGAGTCTCTGGGTTAAGAATCATTGGGCTAATGATATATGGTTGAATGTTGTGATAGGGGATATGTGTTGACAGTTAATCTTTCTAAGGCAGCTGAGTAGCCTATTTAAAGTGTTTGTTGGGGCCTGAAATTTCACCTTGGTTAGTATTATATTGGTATCATAACTCATACGTACTGTGATGAGATTTTTTTTTTTTTTTTTTTTTTTTTCAGTCTCTTTGAAGAACAATAATGAGAATGAGCATGGTCATTTGGCGGGATTGTCAACCGGCCCCTTCTTTTCTTCTAGAATTGATTCTTGCTGAGATAGTCTAAGATCTTTGCTTGTACTAACCTGGGGTTGATTGAGGTTCTTTTTAATCCCGCTTGAATGGACCCTTTTACTCTTAAACTGGTACATGTGATATCTTATGTACCCAGAATTCTCATATTTCAGAACCTTTCACTATTTATTTTCTTCTCTAAGAAAGTGGAATGTGTTATCTGATATTCATGCTGGAGTAACAATATTGGAATAGATGTGGAACTTGTATGACACAGAAAACAATAAAATATTACATGATCGAATGGAAAGGGATACAAATTGAGGAGGGAAAGGGTATTAGGCTGTTTCTGCTTTGGTGCAATTGTTTTAGATCAAATTGGTCATATACTTTGTAGAGTCAAAAAGTGGTGAATAATGTCTTCTATGCTGTTCGTCTGGTAACAACTCTAGTGGTTTTACTGCATGTGCTTTGTCTAGTGTAACAAAGGGTACTCAGTATTGGCTGAGTAACTGGACAAGTAGAATTATATCACTGGATAACTTTCATGTCAAACCTTTACATTTGTCTATGTCGGTACCGACAAATTTTTCACTTATGGGACTAGTTTGCGACAGGTTCCACTTACGGGACTAAAATGATAAGGGGATCCAGTTACGGGATTAAAAAAACAGTTTACCTGTCATTTTTTCATTTTTTTTATGGGACAACAATTTTCGATAGATATAATATATCTACTCCTCCCGTTATATACGAAGGATATATTTTATAATTTAGTAATTATAAAAGTGTTATAGAAAAATTACTATTATATTAACCGCATGTTCTTTTAAGTAATTTTAACAGTTTAAAAGCACTTTCAATTATATAACGTCCAAACAGTTTTTTTTTTATGAAAAGCCGCTTTTATAATAATTTATCCAAATACAAAATCGAACTGCTTGTGCTTTTGGCTTCTACTTATGCTTCTGTTTTGGCTTCTGCTTATTTTTTTAAGTAAATTCAGACAGGCCCTAAATACCTTTACAATTTACAATAATATATTACACAAATATCATTATTTTTTATTATATTATACAAATAGGAACATTTTTATTATTTTTACTATAAACCAATATAATACTAATATTCAAAAATTTATTTATAAAAAACAAATTGTATTCTTATTGCGAAACGAAGATAGTATTTTTATTTTCTTATAAATATATTAATATTTAGTATAAAAAATTAATTTTTATAATACTCCTTCCGTCCGGAAAATTTAATCTCTTTGTATAAGTACAAAGGAAATGGGCTAAATTTTCCGGACTGAGGAAGTATTAAATCACTGAACAAACTCAAATTGATAACATTATTACAATAATAATTAAAATGTAAATTTCTTTTTAATTGTTTTTTTTCTATGAAGACCAAGAAACAAACTGAAAGTTCATATTGG